TCAACATTCAGAAAACAAAGATCATGGCATCTGGTCCCATCACTTCATGGCAAATAGATGGAGAAATAGTGGAAACAGCGGCAGACTTTATTTTTGGGGGCTCCAAAATCACTGCAGATGGTGACTGCAGCCATGAAATTAAAAGACGCTTACTCCTTGGAAGAAAAGTTATGACCAAACTAGATAGCATGTCAAAAAGCAGACATATTACTTTGCCACCAAAGTTCGTCTAGTCAAGGCTATGGTTCTTCCAGTAGTCATGTATGGACATGAGAGTTGGACAATAAAGAAAGCTGAGCACTGAAGAACTGATGCTTTTCAACTGTGGTGTTGGAGAAGACTCTTGAGGATCCCTTGGACTGCAAGGACATCCAACCAGTCTATCTTAAAGGAATCGGTCCTGAGTGTTCATTAGAAGGACTGATGCTGAAGCTGAAACTCCAATACTTTGGCCACCTGATACAAACATACTACTCACTGGAAAAGACCCTGATGCTAGAGAAGACTGAAGGCAGAAGGAGCAGGGGTGATAGAGGATGAGATGCTTGGATAGCATCATCAACTCAGTGTACAGCCTAGTATGCTGTAGTCCATGGCATTGCAGAGTCGGACATGACTTAGTGTCTGAACTGAACTTCCCTAATTAATAGATAATTGTTGAACTAATTGTATTTATGTGCATACAATTAACAATTTTACCAAAGGTTGGAATTTGTTTTTAATTGTGGAAATAGGTCAATGTAATCAATAGAGAGGCATGCTACTGGAGGTAAACTGCAATAAGGTCTCAATTTAAGAAAAAATAGATGCGCAGGTGCAAACAGTTATACATTTTAAAAACTCAAGTATTTTCCTATGTATGCTTTCCTTGGATTAACGGAGTATAAAACTTTTTCAGAAAACATCTAAAACTAATGGCCAACAGAGATGTAAGTTGGCAGAGTAACAATATGAAATGAATATAACATATTGTAAAATACGATTAGCAACAAATGTGAAAGTGAACTAGCTACAATGTGTATCACTTTGCTGATCATCAGGTTACTGTCACTCATCTAGCTGGCCAAGCAGGTATTGCTTTCTTCATGCATCATGTTACACACAACACTTCTAAAACTTCAAGCTTGGTCCAGGAGTATCCAATTAGAAGATATTAGCTCTTCAATCTCTTAGTAAAAATCATCCCTCCCCAAATTCACCCCTACTCCTGTCTAAGGCACTGAATACAGAAATTTCTTGCCTTCTTTTACTCACACTTATTGAGCACCTACTGTATAACAGATAATTTATTAAGTGTTGAGGAAACTAAAAAGAAATTGTCATTGTCCCAAATAAGTTAGAATCTAATAGTGAGCAACATGCAAACAGAAACAAAGCAATTGCTGCTGCTGCTAAGTCGCTTCAATCGTGTCCGACTCTGTGCGACCCTATGGACAGCAGCCCCATCCCTGGGATTCTCCAGGCAAGAACACTGGAGTGGGTTGCCATTTCCTTCTCCAATGCATGAAAGGAAAAGCGAAAGTGAAGTCACTCAGTTTTGTTGACTGTTAGCGACCCCATGGACTGCAGACTACCAAGCTCCTCCATCCGTGGGATTTTCCAGGCAAGAGTACCGGAGTGGGTTGCCATTGCCATCTCCACACAGTAATTGAGTTATCCATAAAATACAAGAACATGGGGAAGGAATGCCTACATTCACCTAGAGGAAATTAGAAATTATTACATTACTTCAGATGAAGCTGAAGATCCAATACTTTGGCTACCTGATGTGAAGAACTGACTCACTGGAAAAGACCCTGATGCTGGGAAAGACTTCGGGCAGGAGGAGAAGGGGATGACACAGGATGAGATGGTTGGATGGCATCACCAACTCAGTGGACATGAGTTTGAGCAGGCTCTGGGAGTTGGTGATGGACAGGGAGGGCTGGCATGCTGCAGTGCATGGGATCTCAAAGAGTTGGACATGACTGAGCAACTGAACTGAACAGGTAAGAGCTGAGGCTCAAAGGATGAAATTAAACTTGCCAAGTAGGTAGGAGGTGCATGGGAAAGGAGAACACACCACTAACTGAGAAAAGTAGAAGCAAAGCATAGAAGAAACAAATAACATTTTATGCTCTAAGAACTAAAGGTAGCTGGATGAAGCCAAATCAAACTTTTGCATATACTCAGGGTTTCTTTAACAGAGGATGCTCCTAGGCTACCAGAGGACTAACCTCCTTCTGTTCCATCTATACCATGAGAAAAACTTTCGGGAGTCCTCATGGTACAGACAGAGCCCCAAAATACTGCATAAAGTCTCTACAGGAGTCCACACATGATCGGGACCCTGAGCTCTGTTTCTAGTCACCTTGGCCTTCAAGGCCGCCGAAACTGAAGTGTAGATACAAGGCTGACAAGTGTCTTCAGGGCGAAAGTTGTCACGCTCACTTCTCTGGATTCACCTTTCCCCCTCCATTTTGTATAATTTTATTTATTTATGTACTTTTGGCTCTGCTGGGTGTTCGTTGCTGGGTGGGTTTTTCTCCAGGTGTGCAGGGCAAGGGCTCCTGTCTAGTTGCAATGCGCAGGCGTCTCACTGTGGTGGCTTCTCTTGCTGTGGAGCACAGGCTCTAGCGTGCACGGGCTCAGGGCTGCCACTCCCAGGCTCAAGAGTTGTGGCTCGCGGGCTTAGCTGCCCCACAGCACATGGAATCCTCCCAGATCACGGACTGAACCCGTGTCTCCTGCACTGGCGGGCGGATTCTTTACCACCGAGCCACTAGGGAAGACTTCCCTTCTATTTTAGACTGATAATTCTTCCCTGTCAAGATAGCTTTTTGTTACTTTTAGTATAACTTTTTAATCAAGTATTTTTGAGTTCATTTCAGTAGGAGAATTGGTCCAAAGAATCTAGACTGTAACTTTAAGGGGTAAAAGCTTTTATATATATATTTGAGATCTATGATATATATAATTAAGATATGAAGCCATTAATAAGGAACACTTAAATCTTTTAAAAGTTTCAAAAATTTTATATGCCATAAATTAATTTTCCCATTAACTCACAGGATCTAAAAATAGAGTGGAACTATAAGAACAGGTAAGATCTGACTTAAGATCAAAAAACTTTACTTTCCTATGTAATGAATTATCAGTGCTTGAAAACAATAAATATTCCTATATGAGAGCAAATTTAGTCTATTAAAACCACAATAAGAAAACTATAAAGTTTTTTTATACTTAAAATCTATTAAAGTATTATCTGTTAGTCATTTCTCAAATTGAAAAGAGTAATCACTTTAAAGGGAAAACAAAGTCTTTTAAAAATTATTCTAATAGGTATATTCAGAAAATAATTGAAAGCAGGGGCCTGGAGAGATATTTGTACTGTTAAGCTCATAGCAGCATTATTCACAATAGCCAAAAAGGTGGAAATAACCCAAGTGTTCACTGGCAGATGAAAGCATAAACAAAATGTGATATATACATACAATTATCAGCTTTAAAAAGAAAAGAAATTCTGACACATGGATGAACCTTCCGGACCTTATTCTAAGTAAAATGAGCCAGTCATGAGGAAAAATACTGTATACAAACACTTTATGAGGTACCTGCATTAGACAAATTCAAGGAGATGGAAAATAGAATAGTGGTTGCCACGTGCTGGAGAAGGGAAGAAAGGAGCGTTACGGATTAACGAGCAGCGTCAGCTTTGCAAGACTAGAGTTCTGTGGCTCAGTGATGGTGATGGTATCACAACACTGTGAATCAACTCAATGCTGGTACACTGAACTCTAGAAAATGGTTAACATGCTGAATTTTATGTAATGTATATTTTCACAATTTTTACTTCAAAAAGGAAAGCTCTATATTTTTTAAAAAATAAAAAAAAATATTCCATTGGTATCTAGATGAGTGATTTAAATACTATAAACATTAAGCTTCTGATGTGTGCTGCATGCTGTCACTACACTTGTGTCTGACTCTTTGCAACCCCATAGACTGTAGCCCACCAGGCTCCTCTGTCAATTCTCCAGACAGGAATACTGGAGTGGGTAGCCATTCCCTTCTCCGGAGGATCTTCCTACCCTAGGAACTGAATCTGGGTCTCCCGCATTGCAGGCAGATTCTCTATCTGACTCACCAGGGAAGGTCCAATTTCTGAATGTGATAATCCAAAAGTATTCCACATATACATTATTCTAGGAAGTTTTCTCTGTTGTAAGAAAAAGTTTCTTTGAGTATTTGCAGAGCTAAGACAAGATTTGGAAACAACAGGTTTCCCTCTGCTAAGTCAGGACAGTTAAGTAAAGCTATCTCTCCTTCAATGAAGGAGAGCCTCTATATGAACCTCTTTTTAGGCTGCAGAACCACAAACATTTATTTAATTGTCTAAGCTATTTAAATGTAGAAAAATTTTTTTAAAAAATGAACCATTTATTCTGTAAGATTGCTAATATTAAAACTTTAGTCTGATAACCTACAATGTTTTCATTCACATCAAAGTATCTGTATACCTACTTACTTACATAAAGTCAGAAAAAGAGCCAATAAAAATTAGAACATAATCCTAATTAAAACTCAGTATGATATCCCAGTTTACTCAATTGGATGTTATGAGCATTTTATGAGAACCTAGCCACTCTGTGTAAACCGAAAAAATTCAGTTTCTTAAAATGCTTGGCTGATTCTGTGATTATAAGATTAATTCTGTGAGCATAAAAGAAAAAAAAAAAATCACATTTTTCCCCATGAAGAATGGTTTATTGAGATGCCATTTTTTGCAATTTTATCCACATGAATAAATGAAGCATATTTAAATTTTCTAGAGTTGAATGAAATCTAATGTTTTCCTAAAGAAACTAAGTAACTGCATGCAATAACTTCTATTTATGTAATAAACTTTAGCAAAATAACAACATTCTTTGCAAATGCCCACTTCATGATTATGCACCATTTGATTTCTAGCTTCTGTTTTTTTTTCTTGTTAAGTTGTAGATTTTTAAAAACCACTTTACCTTTCTGCTGTAAGGATTACTAATTACTAGCTTGGTGTCATCTGAGCCAGATAAAATATATTCTCCAGTCTCATTCCAACAGATTGTATTAACCTAAGAAGAAAGCAAAAGAAGAAATTTAAGCAGACTCAAAGTAATAATAAGTATGCCATCTTCACTTAGTTGATGGTTCAGAATTTTATATCACTAATGAGATTACACCTATGGTAAATAATATTTACCAGTTTACTTAGTGAAAATATATACTGAATACCATTTAGCAAACACGATGTTCTATAAATTTATAGACACATAAACTAAGTATGAGTCTTTCTTAAGTTTTATTTAAATTTATTTTAAATAGTCCATTTTATATACAGGGATATAAAACCAAGTCACCTAAAAAGGAATTAGAAAAACTCACTAAAGAGCTATAGCAATTAAGGCTGTGTGGTACTGTCATGATCACAAACATATATATAAATCAATGGCATGGAACTGAGTCCAGAAATAACCCTTATACTTATGGTCAGATAATTCTTCATAAAGGGGCTAACTAAGACCACTGAATGGAGAAAGAACAATCTTTTCAACAAATGGTGCAGTAACCACTAGATATACACAAGCAAAAGAACAAATTTGGAACCCTACTTCACATCATATACAAAAAGTAACTAAAAATGATCAAAGATTTAAATGTAAGAACCAAAACTTTATAACTCATAGAAGGAAACAGGTCTCAATCTTCGTGAAAACTAAAACCACAATAACCACTTTACATCCATTAAGATGGCTATAATAATTTAAGAAAAAACACAGAATATAAGAAGAAAATGCCAAGAAATTGGAACTCTGATACATTTCTGGTAGGTATGCATTACAGTACAACTATCTGGAAAGCAGTTTGGAAGTTGTCAAAAACTGAAACAGTTATCCTATGAGCCAGCAATTCCATAACAAAATGTATATACCCAAGAGAACTGAAAACATATCACATGAAATCTTGTACACAAAAGTTCATAGCTACATTATTCACAATAGGCAAAAACGGCAGGGAAGTAATTCAAATGTCTACCAACTCATACTGAGTGAAGTAAGTCAGACAGAGGAGAAATATCTTATGATATCCCTTACATATGGAATCTAAAAAGAAATTATACAAATGAACTTACTTACAAAATAGAAAGAGATTCAGAGACTTAGAAAATAAACTTATGGTTGCCAGGAGGAAGGGAGTTTCAGAAAGTCACGTACAGGTTGCTAAACTCAAAATGGACAACCAACAAGGACCTACTGTATAGCACATGGGAGTCTCTTCAATGTTATGTGCCAGCCTGGACAGGACGGGGGTATGGGGGTGAATGGATACACATATATGTATGGCTGAGTCCCTTTGTTTTTTGTTTTTTTTTTCCCTTTGTTATTCAACTGAAACTACCACAACATTGTTAATCAACTCTAACCCAACACAATAAAAAGTTTTGAAGTTTGGAAAAAAAAAAAATTTTCCCCCCTACCAAAAAAAGTGACTAATTCATTTGCTCATAATAAAATACCCACACAATGAAGTATTATTCAGCCATAAAAAGAAATAATAATACATGGTGCAACACGGATGAACCTTAAAAATATTACAGTAAGTAAAAGAAACCAGTCTGAAAGGCTACATATTATATGGTTCATTTACATTAAAATTACAAAATAAGCTTATCTAGAGAGACCAGAAAGCAGATTTAGTGACTGCCAAGAGCTGGCAGAGGGGGAATGGGTGTGACTGATAACTGGTATGAACTTTCTCTTTTGGATGGTGAAAATACACTGGAATTAGGTAGTGGTGACTGCTATACAACCTTATGAATATATAGCAAAAAGGCACTGAACCAAACACTTGAAACAGATGAATTTTTATGAAATGTGAACGATATCTAAGTAGTTTCAAAAAAATGACTGACTTCCACTTTTCAGTCAAGATGGAATAACAAGAACCAGATTTACTATGACATCTGAAACAACCAAAAACAGCAGAATATACATTCTTTTTAAGTACACATGAAATATTTACCAATACAGAAAACATTTACTTATGGGCCATAAAATAAGCCTCAAGATATTTAAAAGACTTCAAGTTCCACATAAATATGCTCTGTGTACAAAACAGAATTAAATTAGAAATCACTAACACAAAGAAATATTTGAAAACTATAAAATAACAGACGGTCAAAAAAGAAATCACAGAATTACAAAATATTTTTAACTTTTTTTTGGCTTTTATTAAAGCAAAAAATATCTCAGTTTATGGACTGCAGATAACACAGTGCTTAAAAGCAAATTTATAGTACAAAAACACTTATATTAGAAAGATAAAGGTCCTATAAAAATGACTTTCGCTTCCACTCTGAAAACTATAACAAGGAGACCAATGAAATCAAAAGTCAAAAGACAGTTGGAAATAATGAATATAAGAGCAGACATCAATTAAAAAGAAAACAGGAAAACACAGAAAACTGGTAAAACCAGAAACTGGTGCTTTGAAAAGACAAATAAAATTAATGCACCTCTACTCAGATTAATCAAGCAAAAGAAGGGGTGGAGGAACTTATTACCAATACCAAAAATGAGAGCAATAACACATAACATCATTATGAATACCTGAGCATGTGATATAATACCATGAACAACTTTATACAATGAATTCAATGACAGAGAGAGCTAACAAAAGTCTTGAAACATATATACTAAACAAAATTTACTCAAGACATTGTCCATTTTTATTAAAGTGTAGTTAAAATTTTCACCAAAGGAAACTCTCCAGGCCCAGACTGCCCTACTGGTGAAATCTGCTGAATATTTTTTTTTTAAATAATGAAAATTCTGTACCAACTCTTTCAGAAAATTAAAAAGAATTGAACACTTCTAAACTCACTGGCACAAGCTGATGGATCGATATCCTTAATGTACACAGAAAAATTCTAAAACAATTTTAGCAAACTGAATAAAACAGTGTAAGAAAATAGATAAGGCATCACGACTCAAGATTTATCTCTGAAATGCAAGAACAGTTTGACACTCAAATCAATACAATCCATGATATTAACAAACGAAAACAGAAAATCATATGATCACTGCAATAAATGCAGAATAGACATTTGAAAAATATCCAAGTAACAATTCATAATAAGAGCTCTAAGCAAAATTGAAAGGGACTTTCTTCAATCTGACAATGAATATTTATTAAAAAACAATCATACTAAATAATGAAAGACTGGATGCTTTCCCTCTATGATTAGAACAAGACAAGGAAGTTGGCTCTCACCACTCCTGTTCAACACTCTAGAATTTTAGAGAGTACAATAAGATAAGAAAAAGAAATAAAAGGAAATCAGACAGAAAAGAAGTAAAATATATCCTCAGATTACATGACTGCTTATGTAGCATAATGAAGCTGGCTTAAAGCTCAACATTCGGAAAACAAAGATCATGGCATCCGGACTCATCACTATATAGCAAACAGATGGAGAAACAGTGGAAACAGTGGTTGACTTTATTTTGGGGGGCTCCAAAATCACTGCAGATGGTGACTGCAGTCTTGAAATTAAAAGACGCTTACCCCTTGGGAGAAAAGTTATAACCAACCAAGACGACATATTAAAAAGTAGAGAAGTTACTTCGCCAACAAAGGTCTGTCTAGTCAAGGCTATGGTTTCTCCAGTGGTCATGTATGGATGTGAGAGTTGGACTATAAAGACAGCTGAGCACCGAAGAATTGATGCTCTTGAACTATGGTGTTGGAGAAGACTCTTGAGAGTCCCTTGGACTGCAAGGAGATCCAACCAGTCCATCCTAAAGGAAATCAGTCCTGGGTGTTCATTGGAGGGACTGATGTTGAAGCTGAAACTCCAACACTTTGGCCACCTGATGTGAAGAACTGACTCATTTGAAAAGACCCTGATGCTGGGAAAGATTGAAGGTGGGAGGAGAAGGGGATGACAGAGGATGAGATGGTTGGATGGCATCACTGACTCAGTGGACATGAGCTCCGGGAGTTGGTGATAGACAGGGAGGCCTGGCGTGCTGCAGTCCGTGGGGTGACAGAGAGTCGGACACGACTACTGAGAGAATCATAAAAAAAGGGAATGGACTAACAAGTAAGTTTAGGAAGTTTGACGGACACAGATCTACACCATACTCCCTGGCTATCCATGAGGATGAGTTCCAGGACAACCTAACAAATACCAAATCTGTGGATGCTCAAGTCCCTTACACAAAATGGAACAGTACAGTCAATCCTCAGTATCCATATAAGAAACCTGTGGACATGGAGGGATGACCATATGTAAAAATAGACAACATAAGGGATTAAAACCACATTTTAGGGACTTGCCTGGCAATCCAGTGATTAAGATTTTGCCTTCCAATGCAGGAGGCATGGGTTTGATCCCTGGTCGGGGAGCTAAGATTCTGTATGCCTCACAGCCAAAACATCAAAACATAAAACAGAAGCAATACTGTAACAAATTCAATGGTCTACATTAAAATAAAAAAATTTTTTAAAAAACACAGTTTGATATCACTTTTTGATATCTACTTGTTGTTCGGTCACTAAGTCGTGTCCGACTCTTTGTAACCTCATGAATTGCAGCACACCAGGCTTCCCTGTTCTTCACTATCTCCCACAGTTTGTTCGAACTCATATTCATTGAGTTGGTGATGCCATCCAGCCATCTCAGCCTCTGTCCCTCCCTTCTCCCCTTGCCTTCAATCTTTCCCAGCATCAGTCTTTTCCAACCAATTGGCTCTTTGCATCAGGTGGCCAAAGTATTGGAGCTTCAGCTTCAGCATCAGTCCTTTCAATGAATATTCTGGGTTGATGTCCATTACAATCGACTGGTTTGATCTCCGTGCTGTCCAAGGAACTCTCAAGTCTTCTCTAGCACCACAATTTGAAAGCACTCAGCATTCAATTCTTCAGCATTCAGCTTTCTCTAGGGTCCTACTCTCACATCCCTGTATGACTACTAAAAAAAAAAAAAAACAATGTAGCTTTGATTACACAGTCCTTTGCCAGCAAGGTACTGTCTCTGCTTTTTAATATATTGTCTAGGTTTGTCATAGTT